TTCTTACACAGTCAGTTCTTGTTTAGTAAATCAGTCTCAAAACAAGATCAAAAAGACTTTTTGGCTGATATAAGATTTTAAAACTTGGTTAGGTGGACAGTTTTTGCATTGTAGAGAAACAAACAAACAAAAAACTATAAAAAAAACCACTAGAAATTAACAGAAAACAGTAGCTGGTTTTCATCTATCACTTTCCTTAAATCCAGTTTTCCTTTCTTACTTTCAGCAGTTCCCTCTTCAGGGGTTGCCACAGTGAGTCATCCTCCTCCTTCATCCTCTGTAGCCTCACCGTTCCACCTGCCTCCCTCTCATTCACACACGTTTTACTATGGCTGACTTTCAATCCTCTAATGTCTTCCCCTGACCTTAAATCTGCTAACATTTAATAATAATTACATTTATTCCTTCCAAGCTGATGCACGGTTGCCTTTAAAGTCGTATAAATGTTACACTAAAGTGAAAAATCTAAGAATAAACGTTGTGTAACCTCAGCTTAATCTGAGCGCGGAGAGACCCTGGAGTTTTGTTATCAGCGGGCATGAGGGTGCTGCACTGCATCGGGCCCAGAAATAGATCTTCGCTGTGTCATAAAAGAGAGATACAGTGTTAATGCGCTGCTGGCAGTGGTAAAGGGAGCTGCTCATCCCTCCAGTAAGAGAAGAAAGTATATTTTTTCTTTCAGAAATTTAAGATAAAGATTAGTAGCTGGGAGTCTGATGTCTTCAAACTGCTGCCTCTGATAGTTTACATCTAATTCTGATGAAACTCACTCAAAGTAAAAAATCTTAAACCTTCCTCTTCCTCCAGAGGCAACAACCATGAGGCATTTTCACATCTATACAGCTGGAGGGAACACGAAAGGGACGAAAACAAAAAAGATGAAAGTTTTTTTATCAGCTGACAGGTGTGTTAAAAGGAACTGAACTTTTTTTTTTTTTTTTAGCGTGTGATCTTTTCAATCTTTTCGTCTGGCTGCTCCCCGGGAGCTTTTCCTTTCCATAAATCAGTGACTGCTGCTTCAGCCACCTGCTCATTTGAACTTTTCACTGTGAGCAGATGACTCACTGATGCAAGAACTGCAGATCTGATGAAATATCTGAACGGAAGGAACTCTTCTTGTTACAAATATCATAAAATGCCGTTTTGAAGCAGTGGAGGGAATGCTGCTGATGGTGAAGTGTGTTTTATTTGTAGAGGATAACGTCACAAAGACATGAGCGAGGTTGAAGAACTCAGCACGCTGCAGCTTATTAAAGCCAAAGCAAATGATTAAATAGTCCAGAAAATAAAATGACCTACAAAAAGATGAATGTTTTTGGACTAACTCACTCATTTAAAGTATTTTAGAGTGGGTGTGTTGTGTATTTTCCAGGCACATAATATACCACAGTCAATTAACCATGTTACCTTCAGTTGTTCTGAAAATGCTGCATATATCAAAAATAAATTTGACTTTGTATCATATCTATCTAAATGCCTTGGAATTGGTCTCTGTCTCTTTAAGAACCTCCTACCTTTTCCAACACTCCCACTTCAGCACGTCTTCCCAACAGTGCTTCAGGAGAGGGGTGCTCCATGGGGCAGGAGCTTGACTGCAGGTATCCAGGGAGGAGCTTTGGGTAAATGGGTGGAGCTTTGTACCAGCAAGTGTTTAGACAGCTTCACATGGCCACAGGAGAGTCAAGGGTTTTTCTTAAACTTGCAGGAATGAGTCAAAGCAACACTCTGGGTATGCTTCTGATGAGGGAATGACATTATAACATGATGTAAAGCTCAAAAGAGTCAATTTTGCTTAATGTCCCCCTCCCTCCTCCCACCCCACCTCCTTCAAGGCTCGAAGTTTCTTATAATTATTTGTGTGGCAGCTTTGAGGGACAGCTAACATCTGTTCTCAACAGCATATCACCTGTGGCTGCAAAAAACCAATACAGCAACAATCAAACAACAAATTTCAAGGCTCCAAATCAATATTGCAAGCTCAGAAAAAGAAAAGAAAAAAGATTTTAAACAAAGCTGCATCTGCCGGTCACATTTTCAGATGAGTGGCTGAAAGGAAATGTATGATTTTTGCACAATTCTGCCACAAAGAGGAAGTAGAGCTGCAGATTGTCTCCACATATTTTTAACAAAAAAAAAAAACATGATGTATCCAGACTTGAGTCTTTAGAGAAAGGCTTGGCAGCAGGAACAGACTCAAGGAGTCGAGCCAAACTTGTGAGGTCCTCCGAAGCAGACGGAGAGTCAGACGATGCTTGATCACAATGAATAATGAATGGCTCACAGGTTCACTTTACAAGGACCTTTTCAGGGCCACACACATGCACTATCATCTCTTTGCCCATGGGCAAAGCGAAGCCTTATTTGAAGAGAAAAGGCTTTTACAGTTTAACTCTGAGTATTATGTTCAAAAAACTCCTTGTACAGAAATAAAACATTGAAGCTTATGCAGCATTGCTGTGACATTTGAAATGTAACTGACTGAGATGTAAATAGGTTACATTAAACATGAAAACTCAGATGTTTAAGTAATAAAACAGCAAAGGTAGAAGTTTAAACCACGATGTTACAACAAATCATTTAACTTCAACACCTTTTCTAGATTGCTTTCTAGAGAGTGTGCTCCAGTTGTAGGTGTAAGAGTTGTGGTGTAGTTGGATCCAAAATGCAGGCAGGCACGAGGAGCTCAGTAAATAAAACAGAAACAAGCCAACAACTACTAAAACAGTAAGCACACAGGAGCTCGAGGGAGATGACCAAAGCGAAAACGTTCAATGAACAGACAATGAAGTGGTGACAAAAGACCAGTTAAATACAGACGGAGGGAGAGTGAAAATGGGCAACACCTGGAGATGAGACTGATAACAATTACTGACAGGTGTCTGTGATGAACAAGGCCACCGAACACAGAGGCTGCATAATGGCACACAGACGGGAACATGGAGTAAATTCAGAAAACATTGAAAATAATTATACGTTTTTTATTTTTGTAATTTGTAGAGTATTTTTGATTCAATTTATTTATTTATGAAAAAGGGGCAGTGTTATGATTCTTGTGTTTTGGTTATTTTTGGTAGAATTTTTCAGATTGGTTTTTCATTGTTTGTTATTGTCTTAGTTTCTCATTTCCTGTTTTCAGTTTCCTGTGCCATGTTTACCTCAGTCAGCTTCTTAGTATTTTTCCAGCCTGCCACACTCACCTGTCCTCACTTGTAATCACCTGTTTCCTGCTTCCACTCAGCCCTGTTTGTATTTAAGGATCTTCTCTTCATCACTTCAGCTTCTGACCATTGCTTACCCATGTTTGCTCTCATCTCACGCTCATGTTCCAAGTTTTGATTTTTTGTTTTGTTACCTTGCCACCACGTTGGCTTTTTTCTTTATTAAAGTCTTTTTAATTACTTTAAGTTTGGTCTGCCTGCATTTTGGGTTCTCCTCACCACCAAGTCGTAACAGGCAGATATAATAATGTTTTTTCTTCTGTTACCTTTCTTTTGTTGCCTTTTAATTTATGATTTGTATTTTTTATTGTATATTGAATTTATGTTGTTTACAAAGAAATGAATTAATTTAATAATAATAATAATAATAATAATTATTATTATTATTATTATTATTATTATTATTATTATTATTATTATTATTATTATTATTATTATTATAAAAGCCAACCTAAAACACAAACTTGAACAATAGGAGAGTCAGACACCTGAGTAAGGTTTATTCAGAGAAAAGAGTCCAGTGGATGGTTTAACTTCAGACTCAGGAGCACTATTACTAAAATGTCTGACAATAACAGGTGAGTTGATGCTTTCTTTTCTTTCTTTCTTGTTTGTAATCCCAGTGATGAAAAGTCACACTGTGGATGTATAAAAGTAAAATATATTTTAGTATAAACTAGTTTCTACATTGTGAGTAACTTTCACAAAAAAGCTTTGACTCTTAAGTATATTTTTAAAGCCCACAAGTGATATAATCTGATCAGGTCATTGTGAAAATTTGCCTCTTTTTATTGCGATAAACTTACACAACTTCTTTATTTCTCAATCAATTTTAACAGTTTGTGATTTTTTTGCTTATTTGCTTTTAGCTACATCCAATAAAATAGATTTTAATACAGTTTGGTAACTACTTTGTTTTCTGTCACATACCTACATCACAGGTTTTATACCAGCCATGAGCACTGGACCAGGTTCCACTTTCTGTGGTCCTCAAGGGGGCACAGGAGTTTGCCCAACCAGTGCACGTGTTTTGCTGACTTGAAGAAAGTATTTGACTGTGTTCCCTGAGGAAAACGGAGAAGGATTGGGAATATGTCGATTTAGCCCATTCAGTCTCTGTCCCAGCTATGCAGGTGTCTGGTTTGCAAGTCACATCTCAGGGTGTTCTTTATACAAACAAAAGTAAAACTGATGAATGTGAACAAGACCAGTGAACAGCTGTTTAACTCCTCACAAAAAGCCAGCTGGGAGTCAAACCTGCAACCTTCTGTCTGCAAAGCAACAATGCCGACCACTATAAGCTTTTTAACAGAACAAAAAAAGGAAACAGTACTTTTTATTGCTAAATTTAAACACACTAAAACACTTTTAATTTCACTTCCACCGACAAACTTTACAGGTTTGTAAAAGTTTTGTTGAGGTTTTTTTTTTTGCAAAGCATTTTTTTCTCCCAAAATCTTATACATTTTTAACATTCCATGATTTTATTTAGTTTTTTTAATGAGGTCAAACTGTGCTTAGGGAAAAAGAAAAGGTGGTAATTTATCGACTGATTGACTGAGCTAAACAGAACTGAAACAGGCAGTTCTCAAAGTCTCAGAGTTTGAACAGATCAATTTT